CTCTTATATTCTGTACTTTTTCTTATTTTTCTGAATGTTTAGCCAAAGCGAGTGAAGCCATTGGGAATGGCATGTGATATATATGGGAGTCCGGTATAAATGACAGCCACAGCACAGAATAGGGCACAGGAATTGAATTGAAAGGATATATAAATCAGTTGCTCGCAGAATATTCTGGTGGTATATATGCCTATTCTGTTTGGTATTGTGAATAGTGTATACACTTTATTATATATACAAAGACTGACTGGCAATCTCTTCACATCCAACTCAATTCAAATGCCTTTTATATATGTATTGCATTAACAGTATATCTATGTGTTCAGCAATCGAGTCATGTATTGCATTAGTATTAGCGAAATGATTGTGCATTCACTTTATTCACAGCATAACTCTATGAGCTCTCTCTCTCTCTCTCTCTCTCTCTCTCACTATTTGGTACTAAACTATTGGCATAATATTGAAAGTCATTCTCAGCATCCAATATATTCAATGAGAGAAAAATATATTATATATATATTCTTACGTTAGCCTTATATTCCGTATATAAGCCGGTGTTTTTCGTATGTTATACACAACACTTACGCAAACCGAAACTATAGTTTCTTAAAATACTTACGAAATATAATAATAATATAAAATTTATATTATATGATATATATTATATGAGCGGCTATTTTATAGTTGAATATACATTTTGGACATCGCAAATGTTAGTGTAGGTGAATATAAACTAAAAAGTAAGTGAATACTGTCGGCATATATACCGATATTGAAACCCTGAATATACACAACTCATACTTTTGTATACTGTTGATTTATATTAACTTAAAAAGAGAGTTTTTCAATGCATTTAAAATTTTATATTGAATTTATATCTGTAAAGTAGTTTTACCGAGAATTTTGAAAGCCTGTTATTATGGGAGCATTACGTTTTGCGTTGAGTGCACTACCGGTAGGTTTACATTAATGGAAATTGTTTTGATTGACAATGTTTGGCCGGGCGTCTAATTTACCTGTATAAATTATATTTTTATTTAGATTTACCATATTTATGTTGTTGTTAAAAATCAGATTTATTAATGGTTTTACATTTTCTAAAGCCTACAAAATATTGCCATTTTAATAGTATTTGCGGATACGATGGGGAGATATAACAGGCAATCGCACTGACAGTTAAAATGGGATTCATATTTTCGGTGTCGCGTCTGGAGATATAAATCGGTGGTCAGGGAATGGGATCCACTATTTCATAGCACCGGGTCTTACAATTGATTTTGTTTGCCATAAATACTTATTTTCAGTCATGAATGCCTCGCAGACAGAGATGTTGT